GCAAATGGCATCGAATCTACTGCAACTGTATCTTTGCCTCCTATACCTTTTCCTCGCCTCTATTACAAGCCACAGGAGCCCAACAGCACGGTAGACACCCAATTCCGCGTTTTCGCCACCTCAGTGTTCACCGTTATCGACAAATTTGCCAAAAAACGTGCAAATAGTAATTTAACTCCTGCGCAGCGCCGCGGCCTACGCGAAATCCGTGATCTATGCGACGCCGGGTTGATCAAGGTTTCAGTGAGCGATAAAGGTGGGGAGTTTGTTGCTATGTCACGTGAACTGGACATGGCAATAACCCAGCAGCACCTGTCGGATGTCTCAGTCTACGCACCCTCGTCAGCTGGCGAGTTTGGAAAGCAGTACCGCCGCTTAAATAGGGTCTGGATGGAAACTGCGCGATCTGCGGGACTTCCTAGGAGCATAGTAACGCGTTTTAAGAACGATCAGCCCATTTGTCCGGTTCTCTACACACTGGTCAAAACACATAAACCTCCCGCAGCAGGACTAACTTCAAATAATGCGCGCGATTTCAAAGTGCGACCCATTATTAGTGGCATCGGTGGGCCTACAGACAAAATAGCTTGGTTCCTAAACGTAATTCTTACGCAGCTGCTAAAATACATTCCTGCGCATCTTAGTAACACCAATATGCTTCTCGACCGGCTACGATCTACGCAACTCACCCGGAACTGCGTCATCGAGTCATTTGACGTCACGTCGTTGTATACAAATGTTTCAAATGACGCTGCACTTCAGGCTACCTGCGAGCTTCTCTCGGAACATCAGGCCGCTCTTAACTTGCACGGTCTCAACGTACGCAATATCATGACCCTTCTTCACGAATGCTTACAATGTACGGTGTTCCGATGGTCGGGTCAGTACTACAAACAGGTCAGGGGCTTAGCTATGGGACAGCGGTTTGCACCTACTTTAGCCATCATTTTTATGTCTAAAATAGAAGCGCCGGTATTGGAGCGTAAACCCCTTTTGTATGGTCGGTACATAGACGACTGTTGCGTCATATGTCCCACCCAAGCGGAGGTAGACACTTGCTTTAACATACTAAATCAACAGTCGCCAAACATCGTATTTACCCGGGAAAAGCCCTCCGAGGAATGGTTAGCGTTTCTAAACGTGCAGATTCAGCTTGCAGGCGGAGCATACAAAACAAAATGGTATCGCAAACCCAGCAACAAGAACATCCTTATACATTCTTTGTCCGCGCACCCAAATAGGATGAAGAGGGCTGTGGTGGGTAACATGTACAAAACAGCTGTTCAGGTGTCCTCTGGCGGCGAAGAACGCTCATGGTCTATCGCCATCGCTCGGGGAATTGCGGCATCCAACGGCTACACTGCTCGAGAGCACGTCTCGGGAGCACGTTGGTGCTCTCGGGGTAGAGCTCGTGGTTCGAGCAGTACCGCCGAAATCCCGTTCTGCCTGCCATTCATCTCTGATGAGTTGAGCAGCGCAGTGCGGCGATGCGTACATCAGGCGGGTTTGCAAGGCGTTGTCAGCGTAGTCGATATTCCCCCCGCAAATCTCAAGCAGCGTTTGGTTCGAAACCGTGCTTACGATCGCTTCTGTCCCACTCCTGATTGCGTGGTTTGCCCGTTTGGTAAGGAGGGAAACTGCGTGCTATCCGGTGTTGTATATCTTATCACATGTTTAGCATGCGGGGATACATACATCGGTGAAACGGGCCGCCCTCTCTGCTGCCGCGTTAAGGAGCATTTAGACGGATTAAACAAGTTAAAAGCAGCCACTCCATTAGGAAAGCATCGTATAGTGCGCCATGATAAAGCTGGAATACAAGTTGCAGTGCAAATCTTGTCGTTCGAGCCCGAGATCCTCGCGCGCAAAACATTGGAAGCGTTTTGGATAACCGCCAAAAATCCAAAAATGAATAGAAAGGAGGAGTGTATCGCTATCACTAAAGAACTGGCGCCATATCAATCCCTATGCGGATTTGAATATGAGGTCAGGTCAGAACGGCATATATAAGTAGAGCGGAGGCATAGTCTTGCATACACGGCGGTCTTCCGACTTCCGTTTTTGCTTCTGGCTAAGGTTAGTGCTGCTCTTGTTTCTCTGACTAGGTTTTCATTGGCTTTTCTCGAATAGTACTTTGGGTCTTCTGTTGATGTCTGAGGGAATAGATGCTGATGACTTCGACTTCCAGGCTCTGACGAAGGCGACAGCGCCGAAACGTAGGCCATTGTACCATAGTAAATAGTGTTACCATCTTGGTCGACCGCTCAATCACACATCCATCAAGTGCTAAGAAAGCTCTCGGGAAGTCCCGCTGTTCGTCCTACATCCAACCAAACATGATTTAGTCGCTTGTATTGTGCTTGAAACTCGCGCTCAGTAACGCGGCGATAGGTATCCGTATCGCTTAGGTGGCGCTCTGTGATTTCCCTGTCCAAGATTTGAGGGAGAATCACAAACTCACCACCCTTATCGCTTACCGAAATGCGCACAGCTTTACTAGAGACTAGATCACGTATTTCCTTATAACCAAGCCATTGTGACTGAGTCAAGTTGGTCGGTTTTGGGTGCTTTGCTTGATGAGTGTAAACAGCTAGCACGCCAGCAGATAGAATCTTAAACTTGACGTCAGCTTCAGCCGACGGCTGAGGTTCTTTGTAGAATGAGCTTGGAAAAGGAATTGGTGGTATTATTCGCGCTGGAGCATCCTGTAGACCTTGGTTGTTGACATTCAGTCTAGACCTTATTCTAAGCTGATCTCGGAGTCTGTGTAGTCCACCAACGACTTTCCGGAAAACAGACCCGTCTACTTTCTGAACCATGCAATGAGGGACCTAGACTAAGAAACCCAAGCGCGTTATCAGAGATATGAGTTTCGCCAATCACCGTGACTTTAGCCAATTGAGAATTCTCATTCTGAGTTGAAAGTTCATCACAGCGGTGGATTAAAGGCAAGCTGCTTTCAACGTTACCTGAACTTTTTTGAGCAGCACTCCGAAGCTTGTCGTACTTGGCGCAGAGCCTGGTCTTGGCTTCAGATCGGATAGAAGCACAAATCGATCTCGAGCCGATCTCAATCCTCCTCCAAGTCCGATTTGGCACGAGACGTCGGCACGCATCTTCTTTTCTAGTACATTTCAGCAAAGACGAGTACAATGCATGTTGTTTTTCTTTGATGATGACTGCCAAAATCGTTCGATAGATCTTCTTTATCTTCCAGTCTTTATGAGTTGTATGAGCAGAATAGAAGAACCAGTGTTGTCGCGTTTACCTCTTATGTACTGTCGTTATATAGATGACTGTTGTATCATAACATCAACACAATCCGAGATGGATGAGTGTTTTCGGCTGCTTAATCAACAGTCAGAGTATATAAAGTTTACGCGATAACAACCGAAAGATGGCTGGCTTCCTTACCTCAACGTACAGATCAGACTGTTCAACGGCGCGGCGAATGTAAAATGGTATCGTAAGGAAAGTTCCAAGAACATCTTGATAAATGCTCGTTCAGCACATCCATCCGCTACAAAAAGAGCTGTTATTCGTAACATGCTCAAAACAGCAGCGAACGTGTGCACAGGAGAAGAAGAACGGAAGGAATCACAAAGAAAGGCGCTGGAAATTGCTCGAATGAATGGCTACACGCTCCAGAAAGGACGTGCTAGACCATCCACTTCCATCGATAGCAGCCAGCACCACCAGAAATTTCCTCTTTGTCTTCCTTTCATTTCTGACGCGACTAGTGCTGCAGTGCGGCGATGCATTAACCGTGCGAATTTGAAAAACGATGTCATTTTGGTTGACATTCCAAGTGACAACATCAGGAAGCGGCTAGTTCGTAACAGACTATATGACAACTATTGCAGGGTCCAAGACTGCGTGGTCTGTCCATCTGGTAAAGTTGGCGACTGCGGTAAGACTGGTGTAATTTACGAGATCGAATGTATTGAATGCAGTGCCACCTATATCGGAGAGACTGGGAGACCGTTGGGTATAAGGATAAAAGAACACCTTGCCAGCAAGAAGAAGGGAAGTATTACCACTCCTCTTGGCAAACATAGAGTTGAATGTCACAGTGGTAATGACTTCAAAATTAGATGTACAATACTGGCATTCGAGTACGACACTGGTGTAAGAAAAGCTCTCGAGGCATTCTGGATCTATGCAAGAAACCCAATCATGAACGGCCGAAATGAGTGTTTGTCAATTACAAATGACTTTATGCCTTTTGTGACGTTATGCGAGTTGAAGACCACTAGTGACTAGTCAAATATGGTATACAGTGTATTCCATTACTGGTACTAGTGGCATCTAAGGACGGCCGCCCTGACATCCGCGCGCCGACGGTGGAGGAGGTCAGTTCGTCTTTCACGTTTGGGGCTTTTGCCTGTGGGACTCCGGGGTGAAATCGAGGCTGGCCAGGATGGTGGAGGTTTTTGGTGGGTTAGACACTAAGTCTAAATCTCTTACCACTTTAGGCCTCTGAAGACGACGATTTGATTGAAACGTTAGGCCGCCACTAACAATAAAGACCTACTAACCTCGACTGGCTTACTCACATACTAACACATCATACTAACAATGCCGAGGTTCAAGAAAGAGGAAACTTGGAAATTATTCTAGCACTCTTTTTCGAGCAGATTTTTATATACACGCCGTCTTACGACATTCAGAAGTTCGTTAGTTACTCACAAGAGCAAGTCTATAACTCGCTTCGGAATAATGCTAAGCAGCTAGGAACAGCGTATTTGGAATCAGCATTCCAAGCTGATTCAGATATACGTGTCTCACCTCAGAAGGCAAATCTAAGTTAGTATACTTCCCTTGTAAGCTATCTCGCTGAGCCAGTGGCGGTGCTGACGCGCTGCTCCACTTGAAGTGTTTCGCCTACTCCGGGGTAAAAAGACTGTACTCCTCTTTCGATTTACCTCTTTCAAATTGATATCCTTTCCTTATGAGTAGACTGGCTAGCTCACCCGGCTCCGCCCGGCCCTGTCAAAACACTATGATAAAGGTCCTATTCCTATCCCTGTACAACCTTCAAGAGTGTCATAATCTTTGCGACGTCGTTCTACATGGAGATTAGCTATCTGAAGTTTCTGCGTAAAAGTAAAGTTACCGAAGCCTTAAGCGTTACCTCTTGATATCTCTTAGCCATAGCGACACGAGGCTGAATTCTTTCGAAAGAATCATCTTTTGAAGCAATTTTAAACTGTAAAAACCAGCAGTTGTTTACAGATGATCAGATCTTACGCGCAAGTTTTTGCGTGGATTTCCACTGGATAAGAGGTGTGGACTGACAGGGCAGGATACGACCCTTTTCCCACATAGTTCTCGACAATTTTTGAAAGCAGCTTGTGTGAGTCATAAAATGGTGCAAGTACCTTGTTCTCACTCAAACGAGTGAAGTGATTCTCAAAGGTAAAGGCTACTGCGTGATGAAGGCGCAATAGCAGTATTAGTTGAGCGGGCGTGAACGTGGCGCACGCGCATCCTCACCTTTGTAAAGCCTGCGCTTCTTGCGCTCTGCGGCTAATAAAGCCACGTTCGCGCCCAAAGATACTGCACCTTCGCCATGCAGCAGCCTACACTGAAAATGTGACGAGATTGTTTTTTTCAGAACCTAGACCTATAAGTTTCTTCACATTTAAATCAACACCGGTGTTTGCATTCAAGGCTTAGCAGGGAATGGTCAGAACTTAACCCGGCCATACCAAATATGCTATACCTCATCGAACTCGTCTTGAAAAGCGATCACAAAAATATATTATCTGCCAATCGACTATCTGGAAGGAGTTACGAGCGTTTGAATGTGCGATTTGTCCAGTGTTCTGTGACGCATGTCTCAAAATAGGTTCCAAAAACACTTATTCAAGTTTTTAGTAAATGTGCTTCTTCCATGTAATAGAAAAAATCATGGCCATTGTAAGTCCGCGCCAGTAGACTGCCTTCAAAGAAAATATATTTGTCGAAACCGAGATTTCTCATATTTGAATGCTCATAACTCCTTCCAAATAGACGTTTAGCTAGGTGGGGGACTATATGTCGCCGAATTTGGAAGAGTCCCGTGCGGATTCCCTGCAGGAACGCATGTCCGCGCATGTACAAGGGTGCGTATTTGTCGCAAATGACTGCGGGGACCGCCCTTTTTCGGCGACATATAGTCCTCTACCCGGGAGACGACGATAGTGATTATACTTGAAATCAGCGTTTTAAGACGAGTTTGATGATATAACCTTTGATTCAACTGCTTGGCTTCGGGAAGGCAGGGCTTTGTAACGTAATTAAAGGCAGTATCATCTTATATATAAAGCTGAATGTCTGTTTGTCTGTCTGTCTGTCTGTCTGTCTGTCTGTATGTCTGTCTGTATGTCTGTACGTATGTTCCGAATAGAAAATTCCATTTCTGAACCGATCCGGACCAAACTTGGCACACATACACTACGGGCCCCGGCGCGTGTCATAGGCTACTTTTCGTCATCGATCGATATCGATTTTATCGATTTTTATCGATTTTTTTGCTGAGTTCACCTACGGGGCTGGAAGTTGGCACAGGGGGGTAATCGAGCATGGGGATTCCGAATACAAAATTGGTTTTCAAGATTATCGATTACTTTTATCGATTTTATCGATTTTTTTGCAAAGTTTGAGCTAGGGGGCTGAGAGTTGGCACAGGGGGGTAATCGAGCATGGGGATTCCGAATACAATATTGGTTTTCAGGATTATCGATTACTTTTATCGATTTTATCGATTTTTTTGCAAAGTTTGAGCTAGGGGGCTGAGAGTTGGCACAGGGGGGTAATCGAGCATGCTGATCATCCCAAGGGGGGTCCGCAGGTCAAACTTTACAAAAAAATCGATAAAATCGATAAAAGTAATGGACGATCCTGAAAACTAATATTGTGTTCGTAATCAGCATGCTCTCGATTACCCCCCTGTGCAAAATCCCAGCCTCGCATGTCAAAATTTACAAAAAATCGATAAAATCAATAAAAGTAATCGATAATTCTGAAAACTAATATTGTATTCGGAATCCCCATGCTCACTTCCCCCCCCCCTGTGCCAACTCCTAGCCCTGTAGGTGAACTCTGCAAAAAAATCGATAAAAATCGGTAAAATCGACATCGATCGATAACGAAAAGTGGACTGTGACACCCGCCGGGGCCCGAAGTGTATGTGTGCCAAGTTTGGTCCGGATACGGCGGAGCCGGGTAAGCCAGCTAGTGACTTATAATAACGGGCTAAGGATGTTTACCTGACTTTGTGTGTGTGTGTGTGTGTGTCTGTTACGAAATTCGTGAAGCGTGTTCCAGCCAGCGTTCTAAGCCCAAATTTTGTATAGCGCATGCTACCTTCATGAAAGTCCAACATGCAAAAGCACGAGTTGATTCGTTGAGTGGATCCCCCAGAAATTGCACGTCAAACTTGTCCACCTGGCTTCTGTACCGCAAAATACTGTCCGTATCACCACTTTTTGCAGAGTCGTGGATGAGTTTGGTAAGCAAATGTGAGCGATGGAGTTTAGCCAGAAAAGTGGTCGAAAGTTTACTACATAACAAAAACGGCGCCAAAACGAATTGGTTGTGTAAATGGTCAATTTGCCAAGGTTATAGCTAAGCGTTTGAGAAGATTTTCGCACAGAAATGTAGCTCACGGTTATCATTACCTTTATGGCGACTTCCAAGTCATGACAAATCCAAAAACCTATTCAAATTTGCGTTTATCTTCCTGCGAAAAGTTTCATCCACGCGAAATCACCGATCTCACGTGAAAAGACTTTCTAAATGAGTGGTTGTTTACATTTTATTCGTGGTAGTCGGCATAGCGCGGTGAGTTCCAGTGCCACGATTTTACGAGAATGAGTAAGGCACATAGACTAAAAAATCCATATACCGGGGGTTATCCGCAACGCTGAATCCGAAAATTCACATTAGAAGGCGCGAAAATGGCGAGAACATGCTTTTCCAAAGACGCACGATATGAAATTCGACGGTCTCCACCAAGGCAAAGAGCAGAGCTGCGGGACTCCACGATTTTGACAGTGGCGGCATGCGTACTCTGCCGCTTAGCAAGAACTCGAACAGGTCGGAGGACCCCGCCTCAAGGCGTAAGTTCCCCACTTTCTGGCCGTTTTCCTCGCTTTAGGTTGAGCGGTGTGACCTCGCACTTGCGCGATGTTGTGTCTGAGGGGTGGGTGGCGCTTTCGCATAGCAGAGCCAGATATCCCCAGTCTGGTGGGACACTGCCTTTAATAGGTCACGGAGCCCCCTTCCCGAAGAGAAACCAGTTGAGCCAAATGGCACAGCTTGTTTGGAATGGCTGGGTGAAGTTCTGACCATTTCCTCGTTTAGCTCACAAGGGAAGCATGTTTAATCGAAGTGGCCTCTTTAGATGTTGTATACCATATTGAAGAGCATAGAACACTGATTCCAAATCTGCTTTCCTTACCTGCGGAACTTTTGTGGATGAGGAGTTATGGGCGTATATTGAAGCAAAAAATTGTGCAAGTAGATTAAGAATAATCATAGTTTTTTCTAGCTCTTCAATAGAGCAGTGATGTTATCAAAGCGCTTTCATCAAAAACCATTGCGTCACCTCTGCTTCGCAGAGGCCCGCCTGTTCTTACTTTATATGCCTTACTCATTCTTTATTAACGGTGGCAATGAAACTCACCTCACAGTGCTTATTATCGCGAGTAAAACGTAAACAGATACCCATTTAAAGTGCTTTTTCATTGAGATCGGTGAATTCGCGTGGATAAAACTTTTCGCAGAAGAACAAATACAAATTTGAATAGATTTTTGGACTCTTTCTGGCTTGGTAGCTAGATACCATAAGGACAGCAAGCAACGTGAGCTACATCTCTGTGCAAAATTTCGCTCGAATGCTCAGGTAAAACCATGGCAAATTAGGTAATCATTTACGCAACCATTTCTTTTTGGCATCGTTCTCCTAAAGTAGTGAACTTTTATCCACTTTTTTGGACTAAAGTCCATGGCTTGCACATCAGCATGCCAAACACATCCTCGACTTTGCAAAAAGTGGTGATACGGAATCAATGCTGGCCAGAACCCAAGTGGTTCCGTTTGACGCGCACTTTCTGAAGGATCCACCCAACAAATCCACTCGCGCTTTTGCACGGTAGGCTCTTATGTTGGTCGCATGCGAGTGCAAAATTTGGGCTCAAGACGTTGGCTGGAGCTCGCTCTACGAATTTCGTAACGGACACACACACACACACACACACACACACACACACACACACACACACACACACACACACACACACACACACACACACACACACACACACACACACATACATACATACATACATACATACATACATACATACATACATACATACATACATACATACACACACACACATACACACACGAAGACGTAACCATCCTTAGCCGCTTATTATAAGTCACCAGTGCGTCCCTCTGCTTTGCAGAAGCTCGCACTTGTTCTTCTATCTATACGCCTCACTCATTCTCGCATAACATGACAGTGGAACTTACCGTGCTATGCTGCCTTCACGAATAAATCATAAATAGCTATTCATTCCAGAAGCTTCTTCGTGTGAGATCGGTATTTTGTGTGTATGAAACTTTGAAAGATGGAGAACAAATGCCGATTTAGAACACTTTTAAATCTTTTCATGGCTTGGTAGTCGCCATAAAAATAAAATCTATCGTGACCTACATCCCTGTGCAAAAATTTCCTAAAATGATCATGTAAAACCGTGGCAAACCCGGCATTCACACAACCAATTTTTTTTTGGCGCCGTCGTAGAATGATAGACTTTTGGTCACTTTTTTGGGCTAAACTTCATGGCTTACACATTTTGCCAAACACGACCACAACTCTGGAAAAAGTGGTGATACGGACTTAATTTTGCGCGCCAGAAGTTGAGTGGATCCATTTGGGGTGTACTTTTTGAGAGATCTACTCAATAAATCCGCTCGTGCTTTTGCATTGTGAATCTAGATTCTGGCAGTGTGTGTTGTGCAAAAAACTGCGGCTCGATACCTTGTCTGCGACTCGCTCTGTGATTTCCGTTACAGACAGACAGACACACACAAAAAAAAACACGTAAACACCCTTAGCCCGTTATTATAAGTCATGATAATTTTGAGATAGAAAAAAATTGTGTCACACGGTTGCTTCATTTGAGGTTTAGTAAAGTTTTAGCTTATTTTTAAATGCATTTCAATTTTTTTTCTCATAAACGCTCATAACTCCTTGTCCATTAATGTTCCGCAGATATGGAAGGCAGTTTCGGAACCAGCGTTTTATGCCCTTCGTACCATTTAATTACATCTAATAGGCCATTTCGGCTAGACATGTTTTCCTTCTCAGCAGATAAGGACAGATTCTAGCGCTTTGTGTCTGAAATCATATTCGTTTCCTTTTTTGTACCATTGTGTCCCCTTCCAGTTTGCAGCACCACACTGATACGTACGAACTTGGTACTAATGCAAATAAGCTCACATCATCTTTTCCGATTTGTGCCGTTGTTTTGTCTAGAGAGCCAGACACTGATATTTTCGATCCTGAATCTGTTGATTTGCAGATATGAAGTGAAAGTGAATTCTTGATTTGCAACTTCCACATCACCCTCATTTTACCTTGCACTTTCACCACCTCCTCTGAAGTTTTTGGCGAACCCGCGACTGCTCGAGGTTGGTACTTCATATCTCTGTCTGCGCAGTTCAACTTCTTTTGTTTCGAAGTGCAGAGGATAAATGCGTTAATCGTCAGAGCAGTCATAACAACGTTGCTGTAATTCAAGGTTTTCAAACCAGGAAATTCATTTCAAATGGTTGTCAGGGTTGTAAGCACACCTCAAAGCTAATATAGCGTAGTTTAGAGAGTCATAAAATTGTTGGTAGCTCATTAGGCTGATAGCTATAAAAATGAACCCTACGTTTATGATGGGTGTTCAGTATCGCAGAACTATCATTATCGCGATTTAATATGAGTGTGAGAAACTCAGGAATGATATCCACAAATTCCCCGCGAAATGGGCTTTTCGTGCGAATAAAATGGACTTAATCCATGCCGTGCGATAAGTATCGCATTCGCAAATCCATTCATCTATATCCTATCCTACTATAATAACGCGCTAAGGCCGTCTGTTTTTTTGTGTGTCTGTGTAAAAATCTGTCTGTCACGAAATTCATAGAGGAAGCTGCAACTAAGCCATCGGGCTGCAATTTTGCATAATATACCGTGCCAGCGTGTAGGCCCACCATGCGCAAGGACGAGCCGGTTCGATAAGCGGGTCCCTCAAAATTTACGCGTCAAATGGGTCCACGCGCCTTTTGACACGCGAAACTGGGTCGCTATTTCGACTTTTTGCGAAGTTGTGATTTGCCTGACAAGTGACTCTGCGCGCCATGAATTCTAACCCAAGAAGTGCTCGAAAAGTTTACTTTTATGCGAAAACAACGCCAAAAAATGACGGACGCGTAGATAGTCGATTTGGCAAGGTTTCATTCGAAAAAACTAAAAGATTTTTGCACTGAAGTAGCCCAAGGTGTCTATTCTTCTTATGACGATTACCAAACTGAAATAAACTCAATCCGTTCAAATCCGCATTTGTTTCCTTGAAACAAAGTTTTTTTTTCTCAAAATTACCAATCTTACATGAAGATGCTTCATGAATGAACAGTTGTTCACGATTCATTTGTGATGCTCAGCATCGCGTGGTGAGTTTCAAAGTCATTCTCATGCGAAAATGAAAAAGGCATGCAGATAGCATACAGATAGCCAGTGCGAACCTCCGCGAAGCGGAGGTGACGCACTGGTATATATATAAAACTCAAACTTTGTAAGGGTGTTCGTTTGGTTGTTGGTTCGTTATGGAAACGCCCGCCAATGAACCGATTGAGCCGGGACTTTGCACAAATATGTATTTGACCCCGGAGCTGGTTTAGCGCTATTTTTTGCGGCAGTTCACTGGACCATTTCATTGATTTATTGATTCTTGGCATAAGAATGAGTTCTCGCGGCTAACGAGTCATTTCCATGATTTCGTGTAAACAATAGCAGTAGAGTTCATTCGGTTTTCGCGGTAGGAAGATGCGGTGATTCAAGACGAGCCTGCAGCGGGTGAGTTACTTTGATACAGAAAACCCTTGCAGCGCAGCATAATGGCAGGTGGGAAGGGAAGACACGGTGGAGGGGGGGGGAGGGGAGAGGAGCGGGGGGGGGGGGGCAGAGGGCAGAAGCTGAAGGACCCGGGCTAGACCGGGAAAACCAGCTAGTTCCATACAAAATTTCCTCAGCAAGCCTTTCTCCAACTTGCCTCAACCTGTTTACTCACTCTTGCAAACTCATTTCCACCAAGTGGTTGATATCTGACTAGACTGACCTAACTTGCAATGTCAGTCACGTAGATATTATATTCTTTCCCACACCGTTACACCTCATAAAATACCATTTATCATCGATGACTTGCGTCTAATTTACTTCCAAGACTAAAATTCATGCGATAACCGCTTTCACGGCATCTATAAATCTGCATCAAATCAAATTGTATGTAGAGCTTTCTGCAAAAAGCAAACTTTGACTGCACTGCAATCTGTGAATCAAAATGCTTATCTCAGAGGAAACCTTGTACTACACTACAACCCAAAGGAGTCGGACAAACTACGAGTCTGCGAGAGATGACTTCACAGATGTTCTACTTTAGCTCTTCTTTGTCTTTCAACACAAATGTTTATATCTCTAAGTAGTTGAATGTATGGACTATTGACAGTAATAATTTTTTCACGGAATTTTTCTTGCTAGCTAGCGGCATTTCAGTAACTTTCGCGACCAACTCAAAATCGCGTTTGAAATGTCGTTTTTGAGGTTCGGTTTTCCGAGATTAGTCAAAAGATAGCTTCTGAGTAATTATATTGAAACGCAAATCTCTTTTTATTTTTAAATACAAATCACGAATTTAGTTTTGGTTGATGATTTGAAGATTAACAAACTATCTGATTTACATAGGAATTCTCGCATCGACATGATATTTGGAAACATTTGACTTTGTTGGCGAACTTTGGTGATTTACCCTTCTTCCACAATTTTTATAGCATTTGTATGAGTTCAGAAAAAACACTCATTCCAAAGATATGAAACTTTTTCCCTTTACTTGCTACCTTAAAACATTCTACGGAACACATCCTCAAAAAAATCGCGACCAAAAATGTGCAAAAAGGTCAAGAATGGGTTTAGTACCAGCTCACCTTGCTGCTGGGAGTAAAATGGGCTTTCGAGTCCATTTGAAAATGGAGGTAAATCCCATTTTGCCCTATTTTAAATGGACTTTTCGCATGATTTTTCCGCAAGTGAGAACTCAGGTAGGGTTGAATCAATTTTATTACACCGCTTTGCTTCGTGGTTGCGATGAGATAAAAAAATTTTGGATAACGCTAGCGAATACAGATTCTGACCACTAATTACCGCGAACGAATAAAATGAGGTTTGAAAGCCCATTTTCTTCCATTATGGACTTTCGTGGATATCATTCCAGAAACTTTCTTCAACGTATCTAGTTCATACGCTTCCCTCATTGGTGCATATAGGTTGCTCGATAATATGGGTACACATACCTCAAAGTTGCATCAATCCCATTTTTAGGAGCAGCTTCCGGAAAAACTTTTCAGTGACATTTTTAATCATCTGGGCCATTTTACGGAGCTTGGAATTATGAAACGTAAAAAGCGTGAATCCACCGCAGGTATATATCATGAAGAGGCGCGCTAGCCAAGCATGAACATGTTAAAAGCATGCGTTCGACAGTGCTTGCTATGTGAGATGCGTCAATGGCTAAGGAGATTTTTTCAATAAGGCAGGCGGCACACCAAATAGGGCGGTCCGCACACCGCTCTAATTCCAATCGGGATTAGACCGAACCGTTGGCGTAAATCTGCGCGCCTGCAGCGCTAGGGGTTTGCGCTCCATATGCGCACTATCGGAGAGAGCGAAGAGACTAAATATAAGGCAGACAAGCATTCCGCAAGCATGAAGCGAAACCGTAGCAATCAGGGTAAAGCGGGGGTGCGGCACGCCGCAGGGGGAGGGTCGTAAGGGGGGGGGGATGGTAGGCGGGGGGGTCGTGCCGGGGTGCGGCCCGGGGGGGTCGTATCCGACGGTCGCGTGCCGCACCCCCGCTTTACCCTGGTAGCAATGCAGACTCCCTGTTAACTCTGGACGGTCCTTTTCTAGTTATCAGGACCCATTTTTTCACAAAAGGATATCGCTTCTTCTTTCGTTCCATATTTGGTCGCAATTTTACAGGAAGGAGTACCAACCTTACTGCCACGTGTCAAAAAAAATCTGACATGTCATTTACATGTTTAACAGGTTCAACCAAAAGTTTGAGTTACCCTACCTAGCCACGTGAATCCAATCTGTTTTTTAGCCAGTAGTGGCCCCGTTTTCGATTGAACGGTATCAAAAATGAACACTGTTATCATAACAACGTCATTCTGTTATAAATGAACAGATTAGACTTGCCCAGAATACAGAATTGGGCTAGGGTCCATCATCTTAGTGATGAATCAAGCAGTAGCGAAGAACTTCAAGCCACCATTTATAGTCTCGTCTGACTAAATCACATGGTGAAAAGTTCGAAGAGAACAACATTGCTGAATCAATGCTGAAAACGACCATGATGTTTTAATATAAGATCTAGACTGTTTTGTTTTGCTAGAATACAATTTAACAGCTTCAAGGTAATCACAAATGCTCTTTTACCTCACAGGAAATGATTCTGAAAAAACATGTTAAAGCGACCAAAACGTGTCAATATTTTCCTGACACGTGGCAGGGAAGCAGTCCTCGTGAAATCTATGAAAAATTGTTCTTAGGCTAAAGAGCGTATTTTATGAGAGCCTTTTGAAAAAATGGGTCCGGATAACGGAAAAGTACCCTCTGGATTGGTTAGGATGGGGACAGGCTATAGTTTTAATTTCTCGAAGTTCCCGACTCCAGATATTGCTCATTACGTTTCGGTCTATATTCAAACTCTCAGAAAACTCAGCTCATAAGCACTGTTGCACCTGAGCGCTCAACGCATTGAAAGATCACAAATTATTCCACACCAGTGCGTCACCTCTGCTTCGCAGAGGCTCGCACTGGCCCTACTTTCTGTATGTCTTGCTCATTCCCGCATAATAGTGACATTGAAACTTACCGTGCTATGCATGCTATCACGAATGAATTGTAAACAACTACTCACTCCGAGAGCTTTTTTGTGTGAGATCGGTATTTTCGCGTGGATGAAACTTTTCCGAGAAGAATAAACGCAAATTTAAACCGACTTTTGGACATTTTATGATTTGGTAGTCACCATAACGACGATGATCACCGTGGGCTACATCTTTGTGCAAAAATCTTCCCAAATGATTAGGTAAAATCTTGGCAAATTGAACATTTACGCAACCAATCCTTTTTGGCGTCGTTTTCGTAAAGTAATCAACTTTAGTTCAACTTTTTGGGTTAAAGTCCATGGCTTGCACATTAGCTTGTTAATCATGTCCATGACTTTGCAAAAAGTGGTGGTACAGGCCCAACTTTGCTGGCCAGAAGCCAAGTGGATCCGTTTGCAGCGCAGTTTTTGAGGGGTCCACTCAACGGATCCGCTCGTGTTTTTGCATAGCAGGCTTTCATGCTGCTAGCATGCGCCGTGCAAAATTTGGGCTCAAGAGGTTGGCTGGAACTCGCTCTACGAATTTCGTAACGGACAGACACACACACACACACACACACACACACACACACACACACACACACACACACACACACACACACACACACACACACACACACACACACACACACACACACACACACACACACACACACACACACACACACACACACACACACACACACACACACACACACACACACACACACACACACACACACACACACACACACACACACACACACACACACACACACACACACACACACACACACACACACACACACACACACACACACACACACACACACACACACACACACACACACACACACACACACACACACACACACACACACACACACACACACACACACACACACACACACACACACACACACACACACACACACACACACACACACACACACACACACACACACACACACACACACACACACACACACACACACACACACACACACACACACACACACACACACACACACACACACACACACACACACACACACACACACACACACACACACACACACACACACACACACACACACACACACACACACACACACACACACACACACACACACACACACACACACACACACACACACACACACACACACACACACACACACACACACACACACACACACACACACACACACACACACACACACACACACACACACACACACACACACACACACACACACACACACACACACACACACACACACACACACACACACACACACACACACACACACACACACACACACACACACACACACACACACACACACACACACACACACACACACACACACACACACACACACACACAAAAACACGTAAACAACCCTTAGCCCGTTATTACAAGTCATGATATGCGCACTTGTCGCTTTCCCTAAATACAGTCTCAATACAATCGCCGCTGAGAATTGGCACTTACATCTTGCAAGTGTTAATAGCTACCAGATTCATAACGTATTACAGGTTCTTCAAAAGCAGATTGTTCAAATTTTCGGCATCGTTGGGTTATCAAAAAATTGAGTAGTTGAGAGAGCTGGTCCCAAAAAAAGAAGAGCTTTGGACGCTTCTTGTCTAGGTCCCTTTTATTTGCTCTATTTTCCCTTGAATTCATGCAGTAGGTGGAGTTGGCAAATCCCTTTAGCCATTTCCATCTAGCTGATCAATCAAACTTGTTTAGCCACTTGCTGTCAGCTTTACATTTATCTTTCGTAGCAAAATAGGCATTACTTTTCCCGTTACAAGTCTTATTTCGGCATGACATCAGCCCAAACCCTAAAGCGTTGAGTGTAAACCCTTCCGTCCCTCGTCACTATCTACTGACAGAATTCCTAAATACAGTTCCAATGCAGTCAACCACTATATGTACCCAGTTCCTGCTTGCTGTGTTCAGTTTGCTACCAGTGAAGCAAGCAATCATGCGACAACTTCGACTTGAACACCATTTGCACAAATCCTTGACTTACAAGCAGCGTCCCGGCAAAGTCACGGCTATGAAGAGTTCACAGCGTTCCGATAGTAGACCCTCAAATAGTCAGAGAATATCAGTAAATCTTAGAGCGTAAAAGTGCATCTGGAAGGCCTAAAGATCACTATAGAACTCTTCCGGACCCGCCCGTTTGTTCCGGTTCCTGCCCAATTATACGCAATGAGCGAACGCGGACTAAAAAGTTTCGAAAAAAAGCTTTCATTGCATGCGCTGAAAAGCCCACACAGGATTCAGCATGAAAAAAGGGCTTTGGAAAGTTAGAGACTGGAAAGCGAAGCATTGCCGCGACAATGGCTTTTGGGGAATTTTCCTCTCACATAGACTTGCCTATCCAGCAGGTTCAACAAAGTAGCTTAGAGAAAGTGGAAACGGTAAAAACGAGTTTTTTGCTCAACTTCAAATCTAGATGGAACACATAGCTTGCTAGAAGAGACGTAAATCGTAGCGAAATAATGTGGTCATAACTATGTGCAAATGCACACTCTTTAAATTAATGGAAAACTGACTGATGGGCAGGCTCTAGAATTGGAGACCACGTCTGGAACACTACCGGAACAAACTTTGAGCAAAGATCGCTTTTTCCAAACTTCGCTTTAAACTTGGTTGAAGGGTCTTCGCACGCTATAAAACTGCAGCAAGCATTACGATGGATTAGACATTCAGACAGAAGCAATACGTGCCAAGATAGGCTTAGCTGAAATTTTGTTAGCAGATGTGCAAACAAAAGTCTGTTTTTCGTCCTTATTAGAGTACTTTTACGAGTGTGTCGTAAAGGACAAAGCATAGTCTACAATTTATTCCCAGACTGTACGCCATACAACGAAAACTGGCGATTTACTCGTAGTAAACATTGCAAATGTGTCACCAAAAGCTATGTCTCAATTTCCATCACAGCCTGCAACAAGTCGAAGAAACGGGATCGATCTTCAGATCGGATATATATGACTGAAAAATACAAATGTAAGTAGATTCTGATCTGAGCAGATAGAAAAGTAAGCTACCATTTGGGTCGAAGTTATCTCGCCGAATATCCAAACTAGCTTGATCCGCCGCTCTTTCGAAAGCACGCCCGATGAAGCTAAACAACATGCTCAACTTTCACAAATCCACTTCTTCCTCTAAGTAAAAGATACCTCATCAACTGGGCGTCTTTGTAGATTGTGTCAAGTGGCATTACTCCAGTAACGATATGCCAACCTTGCATTTCTCCAGACAGAGCCAAGCTGACTACAAGCGGCTTTGTCGTTCGCTCTCGACTCCGCCGCATCGAACAGAAAGCTTGTTGCAGAAAATTGGTAAATAAAAATATAAAGTGTCTTGAATCCATTATGTCGTCTGCAAGGAACATTCATTAAAAGATGTTGATTCACTATATGTACAATACAGTGGCGTACCCAGGATTTCGGCTCGGGGGGGGGGGGGGGGCAAAAATTTTTTTCAGATGAAGGTGCGTGGCGTCAGCCACGCACTCCGAAAATTTTTTAGGGGGGTTTCTCAAGATTTTTGCGGGCCCCCAACCCCTAAAGTCCCCAAAAAGAATTTTTTGCAAGGCTAATTTGAATTTTTAAAAAATTTTAAAAATTATTTTAATTGTTTACAAAAATAAACAAGTCACACATTTTTATAACTCATGTAAGTAATTTTAAAAATTTTGCGACCCCCCACTCGGTACGCCACTGGTACAATATACTTTGAACCGAATCGACCGAAGAAACCGAGTGATTATTCGATTATTCGAATAAATCATCTGAATGTGATTGAAAATTCAATATTCGAAAACCTGAGATTTTATTAATATTCGGCAGTCGAATATTCAAAAGTCTTCATTTTCGAATATTATTCGAAAGTCGAATATTCGAAAATCTCAACTTTCGAATATTATTCGATAGTCGGAAATTCGATGGTCGTCAATTCAACCACTCTATGTCCATCGAATATTCAAAAATTCGATAAGAACTGATACTCGAAAACTCGATAAGCACCAAATGTTCGGAAATTCGATGTCCACAACATAAACGGGAAGTTCCAAGGATATATACAAACTGTTTAATCGCTAATAACTCTCACGAAGTTTTTTGCCAACCTTTGTGTAACATCCTGTAGGAATGGCTTTAGCTAAAAAATACAGCAGAATGCGAATCACACATGTTTTTCTTATTGCGTTATCACGATAGAAAGTTCCAGCATATAGAACAACTGCAAATTAGGACAAAATTTTCTTAAAGAAGATCTAAAATCTGTGTAGCAGTTTTCACGTAGGCTGATTTTACTACACACAAGTTATCAAGCTTTTCAAATGTGCAATCATTTTTTTGAAAAGCGTTGAAAAACACTTGTTACGGTGTACCTGGCATAAGTTGTGAAAGAGACATTCAGATTAGTGCAACTTCTATATATAGTAGGTGTTTTTCGGCCTTTTTGATTCCCATTCTTGGGCAAACGGCTCTTAATGTCTCAAAACTCTCTTCAGTTTTCCTACGGTAATTTTACAACAGTAAGTTGATCGTTCCATAGTTGTTAGCCTAAGTTGAGGTCAGCCTAAAGGTCTACATACTGTTGGGACCCCTGTATATCAACCCACAACTTTCAATGAGAATATACTACTAACTTCTTTAGTGTTTTCACAAACGTCACAGGAGTACACTTTTAGGTTTTTGAGTCTTTTAACGTCACCATTAAACCGTTTTTTCATCGTAAATTGTAACATAGTGCCTATTTTTGATACTTACATGAAACAATTTATTCTTAGATATTTTCTTCTTTCAAAGGCAGTCTCACTAACATAAATCATTCAAATAGTGTTCGAAAATCGAATGATATTCGAGGACCGAATAATATTTGAAATTCGAATAACGAATGATATTCGTTATTCGAATATTATTCGATTTATTCGATTGTCGAATATTTGAAGTTTTCGACTAGCGAATAATATTCGATATTCGAATATTTGAAGTTTTCGACTAACGAATAATATTCGATATTCGAATATTAGAAGAAAAATTCCATCTTCCCTAAGTATAATAATCGCAATCGCATAAAGCCTTGCACATCTTTCAGTTGTGGAGATGTGCATTTTACAAAAATGTGTACATTCTTGACATGTGTAGAGTGATATGCGCAAAGCACCAATGAAATGAGTGCGTCAATATCAATCAAGTAAGATAGCGACGTACCTAAGCTATGTGTTGACGAATGTAGATAAAATGGTCCAACGGGGAGTATTTCTTGTTGATTTACAGCAGTGGCCACCAGTGCCCAAACACATTCGAGACCAATCTGAACAGGATACGATAAAGGAAATGGGACAGAATGCTTTGTTTATTTCACGATAAATATGATCGTCTCCACGATTCGTGTAGAGGTGTGATGCAGACTTTGCTTGATAATACAGGTAAACTTGTTAAACCTCCACGTCATAGCATTGTTTCTTGTACTCTCTCGCTATCAAAAACCGCCACGCTTTGAGTTGGCAAAACCCCGCCTCTACACGAATCGTGGAGCCGATGATAATTACATTATGCTTGGCAGAAAAAGCCGCAAATAAAGTTCTTTCGAATGTGCTTACCTTATACACATCAAATGACTTCACAAGGGTTACACAATCCTGACCAGATTTCATGAAACAGCGAAGAATTCCTCGAGCAGATTCAAATCGCTCAACTAGTGGGACTTTCTTTGGAGTTTCCAACCTGGAATAAATAAGATACTCTAGCATTAACTTTTTCTTATCATAAAAAATCACTACCTTGCAGCTAAGCCTCTTGCTACATCAGCAGCGCATATGCGATCAGAGAAGCCAAAGTGAGCTATGAACGTAGCAAAAGATGGCAACATCTCCTTTTCAAGAGTTTGTATGACTTCTTTCCTTCTTGTAGATGTCATGGCTTCAAATTTTTGTTGTGTTTCATTTAGTGTCAATCTGAGCAGAATGTGGCATGCGAGAGTTAATTAACTGTACAGTAACTACCCTAAATTGGCAAGCAGATGTTTCACATCGGAATCGCCTCGTTGTGTCCAATTTCGGGTTTTACAAGCGAAATGCTCATTTACACTCATGGCTCGATACAAAGACCAATGTGAATACATTGCCAGAGGGAGTCTAGAAAGATTTTTTAGAAGGAATGACAGCGGATAGTAGTAATAAGTGTATAATTGAATCAGATAATGACAGATTTGCAACATACTCTTTTTCAAAAGAAACTCTCAAAAGGTCATCGGCTTTGGCTCCCGAGCCCCGTGGAGAGAATCTGTGTATGAATGGCCGCATCCGATCTATGCAAACATCATGATAAGCCTCCACAGTTATCTGAAGTGAGAATGCTGGAGGAGAACAAAACGCAATTCAGCTTCCAATATAGTTAGCTCACCACTCTGTCGGTCCACTGACTATTCAGTCCAACTGCAGCAACCCACATCAACTCAGGAGTGGCTCTGTTCACTGCAGCAGCCAGTTCTAGCATGCGAACAGCACTCTAGAAATTGTCCCTGAGCTAGATACGAATCTAAGCTGTAGCTCAAACTTACTGATATGGAATACCAGGAATTTTCGTAATACTTCCATAACAAATTTCGCCGTCGCTTGTGCCACAGTTTTTTTGCCTCCTAATTCAAAAATGGAGCGTAATAAGGAGGTAAAATGCCATTTTGCACGAAAAAATACCTTCTTCAGAAGTCTTTTTTCCACTCTTTCCATTCCTTTTCTTCCTCCATCCTCCTCTTCATCTTCATCACTTGATTCTTCAGAATCATTATCTTCCATAATCGAAGACATTTCTGGTATACTAGAAAGTATCACTTTACTAGCAGTTCGTCTTGCAACCGACCAATATAATGTACTTCAGTTTTGCGACCTCTACACTATCCACCATGATCATTATTTGTTCGCCTTCAAAAACGTTTTCATGGTGGAAGGGTCTCCGAGAATCCATAACATATACTTTACTTCGCTCAGGCACCTGCATATCCTGTAGCGATCGATTTCCTCCACAGTTGATTAAGACAATGGTCGGGCCTGAAGTAAGACTTTATCTCTTTCCATTTTATATAGTGCTGTAGTGTCGCTCTTGACCATGTTCTGCTTTAAAAAACAGGATGTTTCTTTCCCAGATAGCAAATATGCAGAGCGTTAATTTTTTTTACAGTGATCCCTTTCGACAACTTCTCCAGAAAACTGTCTATAACAAGTTCCCGTGGCCCAAAATTTGCAAGCTTTGGGATCGTTCAGACAGCGCCGGAATCCGTCCGAACCCGCCCGAATACGTCCAAATCCGCCCGAACCCGCCTGAACGCCACGCAGCGGATATGCGGCAAATTGGCATATTAGAGCACGTGTGGAATACTGCGCGCGTAGTGCATATATTTTATCACACATAACTCGACGTTACATACCGATCTTCTTTTGTAACTACCCCGATATTAGAAGGATCAATCGCACGCGTGCTCCAATATGCCAATTTGCATGCAACCTGCTGCGCTTTGGCTGTCAGGCGTGTTCGGACGTATTTGGGCGGATTTGGGCGTCTGGACGTATTCGGGCGGATTTGGGCGGGTTCCGGCGCGGTCTGAACGATCCCTTTCCTACGAGACGCACGCTCGGTTTGCATGGATTATGAAGTTATGTAATTTGATAGTATACCTATGTATGGACAATATTTACTTGAATATCAAAGTAACTATAGAAAAAATTTCTATCAGCAAATTTCAGTAGCTACTCTAATTCCATACGAAGAATCCCCTTCGCTTTTCACTGCACCCTTCTCAATTTCTACAAATCCTAGCGTTTTGTATGACATTTACCAGAGACCGACCGCGTTTTTTTTTTCAAAAGTGCGGCGCTGGCCAACCTTCCCATTCAGAAAACTTTTGTCCTTTCCCCCTCCCCTACCAAAAAGATTTCCTCGCATTTTGATGCTTACTATTAGTGCATTCAAATGTAAAGAATCCTCCAATTAATAACTGAAACATGAATAACACGGCTTTCAAGACAGGATCTCTTGAAAGTTACTAGACGATATGCAAACAACGGTCCCAAACTCACTCTGGTCGTAGTGCTCTCGCAATGCGCGATCAAGGCTTTCCCAACCACTGACAGGAACCGTGGAGAAAGAGACATCATCACAGATGAACAGTTGCTGAAAACCCAATCTCTTTACATATAGTAAAGGTATAACTTCGTAAAGGTTCCCTTCTCTAATCGAAGATTTCTTGTAAATAAGACCAAAGGAAAAACTAGCAGTCAGAGTAAAATTTCGCAGCTGCCACAGAGCATCAAGCACCACGTGCGCGCTAGCATTGTTGACAGACGCACAACTCGTCACAAAGCGCACGAAACGCTCCCTTGCACTTGCGTGATGAACTTCAATGGCATGGCTATCTTGACTGGGCATAAATGCATCGCGCTGTGGTTTATTCTTCTGTTAACGCTTATATCTGTCGTAATATATCTGGTAAGTCCCAATCAAAGTGGAAAGTAAACTCAAAACGTCGCCTGGTGTAATAGCCTCGGAAAACTGGCTTGAGTAACTCTCAAAAAACAGTAGAATTTTGACGAATAGGACAGAGATTTTTTCAGGATGGAGGTTTCGAAAAACAACCCTATCTCATGTTTGTTTTATTCGCTATTACTGATGTCTTGTATGTTTCTTCCATAATCTGGACGATGATATCTTCCACAACATTCACTCTTCCTCAGCGCTACAGCCATTTGTACAATTTTTTATACTTTCACCGCGATCAGACTGCTCAGCTTGGTAAGTAGTATCATGTTTTCTCTGATGATTTGAGCTTTACTTTTTCAGTTTGTTTTCTACTCAAGATTGCATTCGAATGTCTACTTTTCGCAAAAATCGTTCTACTCAAGGAAGTGCCTGTTTTCATTCTCCTTTGCCCGCTTTGGTTTATTCTTTCTATCATTGTTTTTGATCTCAGCAAACGATTATATTCCATACAACAATAAAAATATTTCGATTAGGCACAGTCCGAAAATGTATTCTATGAAGCGCACAAATTGCTAACAATAAGTTCTATTTTTACGATCCGAATCTGAGCAAAATCTAGGGTCCTTCCATCAATTTACTGACTTGTTTACTTACATCTAACAAGGAAAGGACCCTGAGTCGAAGTAGGGTATCCAAACGTGATGCATATCATTCTGCTGGTCTTGGGACACTAATATCAGTTCCATGTTCCTTAGCCGCTCAATGATCTTCAGGGAAAAGTTATAAGCGACATTCCCCACGATGACCGCTGCACATTATAAGTCTGGGGCGCCATGTAATATACAGATGTGGACGGATGGAAGGATAGATAGCTGCGGAGACTATGGCGTAGGTGATGAAGAGTTCGCGTTCCCCATGGGGCTAGACTTTGCATTTTTGCAGATTGTATTCTATGAATTCGCAGGCAATTTTCGACGATTTTCTGCTTGTTCTAAAATTTAATTTCAATAATTTCCGTTTCAAAAATTTTCAAAGAAAAGTGAAAACTTGAGTAATAGGGTTTTCGTGGACGCTGAGTTCAATACTCAACATGTACAAGGTTGCGAAGCCTTCTAAACGGTGTGAACGCACTTTTTAAGAACATGAAAAAAAAACGGCCGCTACTGCTTACGTCGCATAACTTTTTGATGAAGCATCGTGATGAATTGCGAACCTCACATTCAAGACAGCTACTCTAATTAGCCCAGTGAGAGTTTTCAGACTGTTTTGTTTACTTTCTGAGGCAAAATATAGCCTTTTATGTCTCAACACCCTCTTTGAAGTTTCTGCCGTAATACAGTCATAAAGAGGATGGATGATTCCCTCCATACTGTAAATCTAATTTGAAGCTACCTCTACAAAATGGCACCTGAGGCTTCTCGAAAGACTTCATTAGAAGTGAGTTATCAGCAATCAAACAGTAGGCACATTATTTTGGGACACGCTGTATATATATGAAAAGCAGCTGCCAACAAAAAAATCATAAGCATCCTTTTGACTTACCGAAAGAATCGTATAGGCGCATAATGCATCAACATCTTCTCCAACTATGACAAGCACATGCTGAAAACAGTAGTTCAGGGCAATATAGATCCTCAAATTACAGATACGATAAGACTGGTAAATTTTGTGTCATAATGAGATCTCGAACGGTGTACACTCCTGACTCCGTTACAGCATAGTAATGACAAACATCCTAGATTAAAGAAATTATTTTGTAAATCTTAATTACAGCCAGAAGCATGCAGGTGGACAGCAGCGTATATACGAAGTCGCAGTCGAAAAGTCCTATGCAGAATTTAGAGCAATAAGAGGGGAAGCGTTTTTAGTCGAAGTGGCCTTTCAAATAAGACTTATACTGCCTCGAAGGGCTCTGCACATTGATTCATCTGCCCTCATTATCCGACAAGAGCCTCAGAATGCCGAGTTATGAGCGTTCTTGAGGCAAAGAATTGAACGCGGAACTGGAACAAAATCAAAGAAATTGTCTTAAATGGTCCAAAGTCGAGTACAGAGCAGTTCGTGCAATGGATACATTTTGAGTAATATGCTGACACTTAAGGCAGACGCTATACCCCTCGAGGAGTATAGCATGGCGACGGGCGATCGCCAGTCGCTACGACGAGCGATCGCCAGTCGCTACGACTGGCGATCGCCAATATCGACGACAAAAATCGCCAGTTTTAGACGTATTTGATGCATATCGATCGTCGCCATGCTATACTCCTCGAGGAGTATAGCACCTGCCTAACACTGCTTTATCTCAGCGCTGGAAAGATCGCAGCAACTAATTTCACCTAAATTCTGCATTCATTTTTCGTACCAACAAATGCTCATAACTCGACGTCCAGAGGCGCTTGGCAGATAATGGAGGTAGATTTGGAATTAGTGTGCAATGCAATTTATAACGGTATGGAGCACATTAGAAAAGGCCACTTAGACTCAGAACTCTTCTCTTGTAAGATTGAGACTGGTTCTCAGAGGACATCGCACGAAAGACATAAGGTACAAAAATTGTGTAAGGCTCTTTGTGACGGTCTGGTACCCCTATAGTTTGTAGATCGATTTGACTGCCTACGTTTTCCGGTTCTGCAAGGGAATCAAGTTTACGATTTGAAGTCCGATATCCGTTTCCAGAAGAGATATTTTGAATTTTTTTGCACACGATAAGAACATAGAAAGCTTCATAGAGCTAGTCACTTGTTACACGCTTCAAGCAAACTGCTACCCTCTCCTGTTCATTAAATCTTGTTGAAATAATGGAATCGACTGAGCGTCATTTATCTTCGTAGAGAAAACTTTAATAAATATTCAAAAGGCTTTAGACTGGTCAGCGCGACTATGCTGAGAACGAGAACGGTAGTTTGCTTACGTCATGTACGAATTCTGAATAAAATCGCCCAAATTTGCTCAAATGGTCCGGTATGGCGCCTACTGAAATATAGTTTCTCGAAATTTGCCATGACACACGCTTGCCTTGTAAGCTCATTGTGGGAAGCACCTTGTTCATTCGCGCATTCGCTCACAATATTTCAATGAATGAGATGGAAAAAGTACCACAAACATTAAATGAATATTGAAAAAATTATCGATCATAATCAGAGAAGGCTAAAGCAAATCAGCAAACAATACTCACAGATTTCTTGACTACGTCATAAAACTGTGACTTCAAATTGTTTTGTATAAACATCGGCACACTCCTCTTCGATATTGGATGTGACGATCTGGTATGAACGCTTTCCCTTTCTGAAAAAAAATTGAAGGAGTTCAGTATAAACTAGACTGCGATTTGACCCTGTTAGCTATGTAAGGATGAAGAACAAGAGCGCAGCTGCTAATGTTTGATTACACAACAGTTCGTAAACAAAATCACATGATCACGAGGCGTACGTGCCAACACATTCAAATTATGTTCTCTCCCGCGGCGGAAATGAACAACGGGGCGCATTTGCTGAGACCCACCTTACGTATCGCCTAGATGTGAGTTCAAGGATGCTAGAAGTAGCACTTTTATATTACTTTTCATCAGCCAAAGTGTTCCGCGTGCAAAGAAATTAGAGAATTTGAAAAACACCTTGGCAGCTCTCTTTACCTGTAGTGTAGCTCACGTACTGTATTATAGAATCCCAACTGGTCATCGACTTGGAACAGTAGTCAAAACCAGGCGTAGAGGGATTGCGCAGCTGCTGTGACTGCACAAACTTCGCTAAAAATGTCTCGCTGAGGTTGTCCTTCAGAAAGGACGGAAATCAAGTGGTGCGCACTTGCATATGCTGAAACTGAGAATTCAAAAAAGTACTCAAAGTTGAAGTTCAGTAATCATAATGAACCAGTCACGATCAAAATTGGGATTTCTATGTTTTCGAGGTTGTTTTTCTGCATAGTTATGATTGTTCGCAAAACAAAACACAAAAAGCACTTTTTTCAAACAACTTACGAACAAAGTTTAAACATCAGAATTCAGCGGTTTGAGCTGGAGAAGCCTGTTCCCAAACTTACATCAGTGGGATAAAACTAGAGACTTGCCTGTACTTGAACACGGTGCATGTACTCGATTACATGTTTTCCCTCTTCCGTGTTGCAAGGTTATGACCTCATAAAGGTTTCCTTCGAGCAGAATGCCGCAGGCGCACTAAGGTTCTAACCTACATCTTATGTAGTCATGACTAGTTGACTATCACTGATCGGAGACGCCTCATGATTATCCATATTTATTATCAAGAATGAGATGACTACAGTCCTCTTGGCTACAAGCTATATACGTTGGCGCGACCTTGTCAGTCACATATCCATAAATGATTAGTGATGTCGTATAAAATGTCTATGTGTACTGGCATGAACTCGTTATCTAACCATTGGTTTGAACATTTTGCTAAACTTGAACTTAGATTTTGAAAAGTTGTCTGAAAAAGTGCTTTTTGTGTTTTGTTTTGCGAACAATCATAGCTATGCAGAAGAACAACCTCGAAAACATAGAAATCCCAATTTTGATCTTGATTGGTTCATTATGATTACTGAACTTCAACTTTGAGTACTTTTTTGAATTCTCAGTTTCAGCATATGCAAGTGCGCACCACTTGATTTCCGTCCTTTCTGAAGGACAACCTCAGCGAGACATTTTTAGCGAAGTTTGTGCAGTCACAGCAGATGCGCAATCCCTCTACGCCTGGTTTTGACTACTGTTCCAAATCGATGACCAGTTGGGATCTATAATACAGTAGCTCACGTACTATAGTGGTATACTTTGCGTAGCAATTTAGACATTTTCAAAAGGTCTTACAGTGGAGGGATACTTGGTCGAATTGGCCTTTGCATATGTAAGACATGTACTGTTGGACGTGGAACGCTGTTCTACACATGTCTTCGTCATCCGCGAAGTTTTGGGAGAATACTATGGGAGCAGAAGTCTGAACGCGCTGTCAGAACTGTACTCCCTGAGCTCAAATGGAGCGATGGTGATTTCAAGGCATTCTATGCACTAAGTAATTTTAGTTCAATTAGGTCATCTTTATACTACTCCTTTCAAACGCCGGAGAAACCACAACTGTTCAACTCAGTCAGAAAGACTACCGAAAGCAGATCCAGAATCAGCCATGCAATCCAGGAATGATATCCACGAAAGTCCATAATGGAGGAAAATGGACTTTCAAGCCCCAATTTATTCGTTCGCGGTGGAGAGTGGTCGGAATCTGCTTTCGCTCGCGTTATCCAAAAATTTTCATCCCATCGCAACCACGAGGCAAAGCGGTGAAATGAAAATGATTTAACCCTACCTGAGCTCTTGCTTGCGAAATGATGACGTCAAAAGTCCGTTTAGAATGGGGCAAAATGGGATTTACCTCCATTTTAAATGGACTTGAAAGCCCATTTTACTCCCAGCAGCAAGGTGAGCTGGGACTAAGCCCATTTTTGACCTTTTTGCATATTTTTGGTTGCGATTTTTTGAGAATGTGTTCCTTAGCCTATTTTAAGTTAACAAGAGAGTGGAAAAAGATTCATGTCTTTTATAAAGTCTGAAATAATTGTTTCTTTCTAAACTTAGATAAATGCAGCAAAACTCATGGAAAAAGTTAAAATTCACCAAAATATTCGTTAACAAACTCAAATGCTTCTTAATATCAGGTCAATCAGAAAATGCTTATGTAAAACAAATAAAGTTTGTTAACTCTTCAAATCATCAACCAAAACCAAATTCATGATTTGTAATCTAAAATTTGAAAAAAATTGTGCTTCAATGTGATTACTTAGAAGCTATCTTTGGCTAATTTCGTAGAACCGAACCTCAGAGACGGCATTTTAACGCAATTTTGAGTTTGGTTCGCAAGAATTACTGAAGTGCCGCTAGCTAGCTAGAGAAATTCCGTGAAGAATTTCTTACTAGATTAGTCCATACAATCAACTCGCTGAAAGACAAAGAAAAGCTAATATAGACCGCTTGCGAAGTCATCTTTTGGGATTCAAAGTTTTTGCGACTTGAAAAACCCTCTGAGTTGTAGTGTAGTACAAGGTTTCTTGTAAGGAGCATTTTGGTTCACTGATTGCAGTGCAATTCCAGCCAAGGTTTGCTTTTTGCAGAAATCTCCACATACGAATTAGATTTAATGCTGATTCGTAGAAGTTTTGACGCAAATCCCGGATATGACATGAATTTTAGTCTTGGGAGTGATTTAAATGCATAGTCATCGATAACGAATGGCATTCTGTTAGGTGTAACGATGTGGGAAAGAATAGAATAGCCACTTGAGTGACATTGTAATGTTAGGTCAGCCTAGTTAGATATCGACCACTTGGTGGAAATGAGTTTGCAAGAGTGAGCAAACAGGTTGAGACAAGTTGGAGAAAGGTTAGTTGAAGCATTTTTGTATGGAATGAATGTGTTCGCGAATGCGATATCTTATCGCACCGCATGGACTAAGTCCATTTTATTCGCACGAAAAGCCCATTTCGCGGGGACTTTCGTGGATATCATTCCAGAATGGTTTAGATATATGAAAGGCACTTCGACCAAGTAGTATCCTTTCCTTGAAAGATACGAAAAGAAAGTACATTTTGTTGTTGTATAGGGCAACTGACAAAATACTCGGCTTCTTTGGCACCCACTGCTGATATACGCTTAACAGATACACTTTTTAGTCGAAGTGTCACTGAATACCTGACAAGCCTAACTAACCTGCAATACTCTGTCGATAATAAGTGCTGTTGACTTGTTGTTTATATGAGGCGGATCAGGGGTGGCTGACCCCTGATCCGCCTCATATAAATGTCTCTGCTATATACAGGGCTCTGCGTGATGGCGAGAGTCGCTGGGTTTGCGGCCGTTGCACGCGCACTGAGCGTTCTCAGTTATCTTTCTCCTTTCGAACGCTCTTCTGTTATCAGATGTTAACATCAGTTTATTTGAAGCAACTTCGAAAAGTACGGGATTGTTTAACTGGTTTGAGGCCTTGTGGCATCCTGTGTGTGCAATTGCCGCGAACTTACCGACTCTCGCGATCATCAGAGCCCTATATCTGTCCACAGTCGAGTAGATATCGTCCCCTCCACAATTGCTTCTACTCTTGGTCTGCGTCTCAGACCTGCCACGTGTGGCTAACATGTTGGCAACGTGGGCAACATGTCCGCAACATGCCACAACATGTTGGCAGAACAATTTGGCCACGCCAACACGTCGCTGCCTGCCTGTTGCAAGCATGTTGTTGCCGTCGTTGCCAACATGTTAGCCACATGTGGCAGGTCTCAAACACAGAACAAGGGGTACTATTCCACATAAGTTGACCAAAAAGTGAAAATCGTGAATTTTGCTAAAACTTCGTCTAGGGGGTTATTTGGCATGCTGAACACGAATGTGATGTTTATTTCGTGCGACAGCGCTATCCGGTGGAGTTATGGTAGGAGTACGGTAAGGGGTCAAAATCACGAAATTGCCCGAAACTTGGCCCAGAGGGGTTATTCGGCCCGCTTATGCCAAATATCACATTGGTTTTGAACCGTATTGTCATTTTCTCGGGTTACGGTAGCTACACGGTAGCGAGTGTAAAATGTGGGTGTATGCCAAGATGAACGATAGCTGGCAATAAGCATACTGTACTCCTACGTTTGTCAATATGTCGAACATAAAGTCTTATTTTTTGAAGCTGTATGTTCCAAACTAAATTGAAAATGGTGTCGAACAGTAAGGATCAGGGCATACAGAGCTTCCAACGTTTTTTCCAAGCTTCGAGATATCATCATAGCGTAAATATGGAATTCAAAAAAGATTTGACCTACGCAGCGCGTATGGCTGGCACAACCTATCGTTCATGTTGGCTGCCCCCCGTAAAATGTAGTTCTGCCTGAAACGGGTGTACGGCGATTCGCACGATCGTAAAGCTTTGCACACACGACCACCGCAGCGCGCTACACACCCTGCTGCGGCTTTTGCCTAAGCAGAGCCCAAGGGGAAGATAAATTTGCCAATTTTGATTTTGACCATTACCGTAAAACTATCGTAACCATGCAGGAAGACGTTTTCGTGCAGAGAAAGTGTGACATTTCTATCAGCATGTCGAATAACCCCTCTGTACAAAGTTACAGCGGATTTTGAGATTTGGACCCCCTGCCGTATACCCACCGTAACCCGAGAAAGTGACGCTACGGTACAAAACCAATGTGATTTTGGCATCAGCGCGCTGAATAACCCCTCTGGGCCAAGTTTCGGGCAAATCCGTGATTTTGACTCCCTACCGTAATCCTACCATAATTCCACCGGATGGCGCTGTTGCACGAAATAATTATCATATTCGTGTTCAGCGTACCAAATAACCTCCCTAGACGAAGTTTTAGCGAAATTCACGATTTTCATTTTTTGGGTAAACTAATGTGAAATAGCGCCGACCAAGGGTAGAAGCTACTTTGGAAGGGATACTCGAGTATATATCAACGCGTACCATCTTCAGCCTTATAGAATTCTCCAGTACCATCTGTAGCCTTAAAGAATTCTCCAACATTTCTCAGTTTCGTCCAGGTTGGTATAAGCAGCGGTCAGTATAGTGTTCTGCGGAAAAAACGACATTTGTGCGAAGACACTGCCATGCTTGTGAATGCAGATAACTTGCTTGTGATCTGCATGTAAAAAGGGCCATAAAGCGCATGCTATTGC